ACCACAAACCAGATTGATTTCCTTGTGATGTGAAGGAAGTGGGTAAGCAGCCCGCTGAACACGCAGTCGAGAAGAGTAGCAGATGTGGGCGAAGACCATCGGAAACTCACACAGAGACCGTAGCAGATATGCTCATGCCATTATTGCGAAATGTTTGGATGGAAGGAAGCAAATGTGCTCACTGATTCGAAGAGACACTGAGTATCTTATGAAACTTCGAAAGAGTGGAGGCTTAGGACTCTGCAAGAACTGGCGTGGAATATTTCTCTTTTCCACGCCAAGTAAAATACTAAGTTACGTCTTCCTGGAGAACATAAAAGATGCACTAGATACCAAACTCCGCTAACCAGAACAAGCGGGAATTAGGAGAGGCAAATCATATGAGGATCACATTGCAGCTTCATGAGTCATCATTATCATCATCATGATTTTCATCGAACAGAGCATAGAACCGTAGTCGAATCTCTACCCCAACTTCATCAAATTAGGAAGGGCATTCGACAGTGTTGACTGGAAAGTAATTTTGAGGTCACTTCAACACCATGGCGTGCAGTGATCAAATCTCCAATCGGCCCAATTTAGCAGTTGGCTATATGACAACGCCTTCCACGTGTCGAACGGTCCACAATGGAAGATTCAGCGAGAACTTTGCAGCGAAATGCGGAGTAAGGCATAGCTGCCCACTGTTACTGATGATATTCCTAGTCGGGACCGACTGGATTATGCATCAGACTGTGAGTAGGGAGGAAGAAGACGGGAATGCGCTGCACTGATCAAGAAGAAGACTCTGGAAGATCTGGACTTCGCGTATGGATGATTTGTGTTGAATGTCACTCACACAGACTCGAGGACTTACAGGTGAAAATCAACAAACTAGCTGAAGTACCTGGCAGTGGAGAGAGGTCCTCTTGTGAACACGGAGAAGACCGAGGTGATGAAGACAACTAAACCACAAACTAACTTTCCAACTGCGACAGCGAAAAGTGCCATCGACTTTCAGCGGGAGAAAATTGAGAGAGGTTACTTCCTCCACTTATCGGTAAAGCACGCTCACAATCACAGGCAAACACCACACTGCAGATTTCAAAGTCAGAGTGAATTAGCAAGAAGAAACTCTACACTGGAACAAACCAGCTCAGTCCGCATTGTTCACTGGGTATACAGGGGAATGTTGAAGTGGATTTGACATACTCCGAGGAAGCCGTCAAATGACGTCGCACGCAATGCAGGCCATCGCTCGCCTGCAATCAGAATAAGAAACGACGAGTTGGTCGTGGGTGTGAAGGTGTCATGGAGGAAATCGTGTTACGAGGAAATGAGTGATTTTGCGCACTTGTGCACCCAGCTGAAGAAAATGGAAGAAAATATAACTGAGTGGAGATGTGTTTTCGAAGACCCATGTTCCACTCGGAACCCAAGGAAATAATCATGTCAATGAGAATAAGAATGATAATACGGTAGAACAGACAATGACAACAGGATTTCTCTACAGAGTCCTCTTTCGTCCCAGCCTATCTCATTCCAATGGACTCGATGAAATGAATACCAGTCGTGATAAACTAGTCTTCAAGTAGGAAACAGACTGTATGGACACCAGGATTTCCATCCTCTATAAAGTGTCAACTTTTCCCGATTGATATTGTTTCATTCAGCCAGTTGTATCTTTGGTTTGCTACAGAGAGGATGTGCATATGCTTTTCATTAAGAATTCACCCACTTTCGTGCAATTCTCTAAGGAAATGGATGGTTAACATCCTAAGTGGCTTCTCTGTGCTTTCGTGACAACAACATTCATGCATTTGTGGCATTTGGTTCAAACTTGGATCCCTTCCCGATGCACTCTTCTAACTCGCTAAGCCAGTTATAAGACTGGTAAATTAGGAGAGTTTAGCATGAGGATGGTGACCCCATCCCGTAAAAAAATAAACACTACTACTACCGAAAATTCAAGACTCTAGCTTGAATAAAAAAAGTGACACCGTTTCTATTTAAACTGCTTATAAAGCCATATTGATCAGCATATTCGTATAAAGACTTGTTATATCCCAACTCACCACTGTTTTACTATTCTCTAGTTGAATGTCAATTAGTTTCTTTTTCATCTCATATGAATTAGTTAGCCTAGAGTTTCAACGATTTCTACCAAGACATAATATGAGAGCTAAATGTTTTGATATTTCATTAAAAAATACGTGGCTCTAGTCAGAATGTTATGTGTGTACGTTGATATGATTATGAGCAATAGATTGTGCTCGAAACATCATCAATAAATATTCCTGTATAACACTGTGAGACTTTATCAAGATAAATGTTACCCACAACAGAATACTACTCTACCACACTGCAAAAGTTCTAATCTTATATCAGTGAAAAAAGAACGTCAACTAACGCTGCTGATGCTGCTCTTTGTGGTTGTTTGAAATATGTTCAGCAGGAAGATTTGTATGCATGTGACTGAGGAGAAGACACTGGAAGGTGTACACTACGCGGATGTCGTATCTGTAATGTCATACAAGCTTTCAGATCCGCAGTGAAAACAAACAAGCTGGCGGAAATAGCAGGAATAGCGAAGACAACAATCTCAGGAAATATGGAGAAGGTAGAGGTGATGACAACACTCAGCCAGCACAGAAAAATAACAGGCATCAGTCACCATCATTATGAAAATATAACATATATATGTGACATCGTTCCGACTACAAGCTTAACAAGTGCGGATGTCAAAGTCAACATGGGAGAAGCAACACAGACACTCTTTATTCTTCGAACAGTGAGGGAATCCGACACACTCAGCATGCGAAAAGAAGTTTGGATTTCTAACACTAATGTCAAATAATACGTTTTTTTATTACAGATACTGGGCGCATCACGGATGGCATTTCCTGAAGGGCTGACACACATACATCAGCATCTGCATTCCCCCAATACTGAAAATAAGATGGCCAGCAGGAAAAGACTGCTAACAAAAAACTCCCCACAAACCATCCGAGAATCAATCACCAGAGAAATTTGCCAGAAGAAATGAACATAGATAGGACACATACGGAGGAGACCGGTGAGTGACGTCACGTGGTAGACGACTAATTAGGTGGATTAGGCTTGAGTCCGAGGACGATGTCGAGGTGTTCGTACGAATAGAAAATAAACGCTGCTGAGCCATAATCGAGCAAACTGGAAAGCCAGCAGTGAACGGAATGAGATGGATATGTGTTCCACATGGAACCCAAAACGACAGTGATAATATTAGTGGCAGACATTGAAGCAGAGTATCGTGTACCAATTTCATTTCTTTGCAATTCCTTAGCTGTGCAGAATGTGTTTCGATTATTGCACTCTGTCAACATATCTGATAAATTAACCGTATTGATACCAAGATATAATTGAAATGTTTACGTATCCTACAGTTTACCTCTTCAGTCAATATGCTAAATAATCTGACATTCTGTTTGAGTAATGATCTTTTCAGGTAAATTATTTTCTTTTCAAGACTCTATTCCTCATTTCTTCATCTCAGTGATTTTTGACTAATCTAATTTACTGCTCAGATTATCAGGCCACACATTTGGTTATATACAAGTTGATTGTGGCAGCAGTCACCATTCATTATAAACAAATCAGTAAATTGAAGAGGGTTTTTCATATCCAGTATTCTTTTTTCTTGTACCAATAATTATCCTTCATTTTGTGAAGAAATCTGAATACTATTATTACAACGCAAGATGCATATTTGTGTGAAAAATATCAGATCACTTCACATAGCAGAGACTTTTGTAAATAGTTTAACCTTCTGTAGAACGCATTTCATTACCTGAAAACTAAAACAAAAGGCCTAATTAATTAGGACATATATATATATATATATATATATATATATATATACGGCTTCATATACTGTTATATGTACATTATGTTACTGCCTGTTCACGTCAAATTCTTCCTCGTAGTTTGCATATCCGGTGAGTTTTCGTGCAATTTTTCAACTACATTTTTGGAGTTCATGCTTACAATAACAACAGTGTTTCGAAATGGACATTAGTAAATACGACGCTCTTATAATGGATAAAACCGAGTATGTATGGATTATACTAAGAACTCGATTACCCATAGACGGATAATTCAATTTTAATAATTTGCTTTGGTAAAAGACATTATTAACAGTTAGAGACATTCTTTAACCTTCAATGCTTACTTTGATTGACTGATTGGTGTGTAAATTGAAGCACCTCATAGATTTCACTGCTAGTTGTTTGCACAGAATCAAAATGTATATTGTAATACTGGTGTAATCACTCTTCAAGAGACTTGGCTCCATGATTCATATGACGATAATTTAGTCTCCTTAAGTGGGTTCACAATCTACAGACAAGACCGATGCAGCTCAAAGAAGAAGAGAGGTGGTGGTGTTGCCACTTTTATTAATTCTCAGTGGTCTACTGCCAACAACGTCTGCTTCAAATTCTCAAATGACAATATTGACTGTATAACTGTAAAATGTCGACCTAAACACTTACCTAAGTATAGCTTCATTTTTGTCACAAATATCTATATCACACCTTGTTGCAGTCCCTCAGAACTATCTATCTTCGCTGATGAATTCACTATTTTTGCTGCTGCTTCGTTTGGTAACTCCTTATCTATAGTGACTGGCGACTTCAACTCCAGCGACTGCAGTTTTATTACATTGCTGGGCCATGCAAATGTTGTTAATTTCCCAACTCGACAAAATACTTCACTTGATTTAGTATTTATAAATGATTCTGGAATATACGAAGCTCGTAAAAGAGCCCCGCTCTTCAATTCTGATCATTGTATTGTACGAGTCTTACCCAAAATTTACGGAAAATTACACAGTAAAGCCTTCTCAAACTTGTCTAAGAAAGTTGTTCACAGATGCTACTCAAATGAGAACGTACATCATCTTAGAAACATGCTCAGTGACACCAGATGGGATTTGTTTAATGATGATTCACTTGATGGCAATATCTCTAATATTACATCCTATCTGAAATTCTGTTTTGAAATCTGTTGTCCAAAAGAAACACTATTCGTCAAATTTGACCGTTTCTCCTCTCCTCAACTTAAAAAGCTTCGTAGAGAGAAGGAAAAACTGTCTAAGATGAAAGATAAAACTGGTGTAAAAAGAACTAACTTCTTAATTAAGTCTGAAATGCAGAGGTTGAATGTAATATATAACCAGAAATTCATATCCTGCAAAAATCCTTCTAATATGTGGAAACTATTTAAGGAAATCACTGGTGGTAAGCAGATAAACAATATTCCATATTCTTTTGATGTATGTACTCTTAACAAATCTTTTATTTACTCTCCCTCAAATGCCATGCTTCCCAGCATCACTTGTGTTAATAATAGCCCCTTTCCAGGTTTTAACACAAATGATGTTCAAAAGTGCCTCAAGTCTCTAAACCCTTCCCAGAGCTTAGGTCCCGATTATGTACCTAGTATTATTTTTAAAAATGTTCTGATATTCTGTGTCACCCTCTTACTGATCTATTTAACAAATCTTTTTCCGATAATATTGTGCCTGCCGTTTGGAAGGACATTAAAGTTGTACCCATACCTAAATCATCCACTGGAGCATGTGTCAAATTTAGACCCATTGCTGTTACCTCTCCTTTTTTGAAAACTATGGAGAAATTACTTTTACTTAGTCTTGTACCTTCGCTTAAATCCTTTAATGACCCTAAACAATTCGCCTATAAGCACAGTAGAAGCACTTTAGATGCAGCTGCCGTCTTATATCATAACATTGCTTCCAGTCTAGACAAGGGGGCTAAATTTGTTCGTTGCGCCTTCCTAGACTATACATCTGCTTTTGACTCGGTCCCTAGGGACATCTTATTAAATAAACTTGCTGCTAGTCAAACAGAATGTTGGGCTGTTAACTGGTTACATTTCTATTTCTCAGATAGAAAGCAGTACACCGTATATAAAGGGAAGTCTTCCACTTCATTGCCTACTGAAGCTGGTGTCCCTCAAGGTGCTGTTCTTTCTCCTTTTCTTTTTTCTTTCCTCTTGCATGACTTGCCTCACTCTGATGAAATAAACTTTGTGAAGTACGCTGATGATTTAACGGTTTCAATGGCTGTTAACTCCCAGCTAGATTGTACCAAAATAAATAGCTTTCTATCGGAAGTCAGCAAATGGTCTGAGTCTAACGGTCTTAAACTGAATCCTTCTAAGTGTCAAACTGTTGATTTCAGCTTAAGATGTAAACGACAGTTAAAAGAAGTCATCGATTCTCATGACAGTTGTAAAATTGACGACAATGATATAGGAATCAAATCAGAAATTAAGTATCTTGGACTCATTCTCTCTTTTGATCTCTCCTGGTCTTCCCATGTCTTAGCAATCTCCAGTAAAATATTCCGCTTGACATTTTACATTAAGAAGTTAAGACACTCGGGTATAACTCAACCCTTCCTCTTACAGTTCATAAACTCTTGCATCCCACCTATTCTTCTTTACTGTTCACCCTTATTCTTTCCTGGTTTGTTTAAAAAGGACTATGTCACAATTCGTAGAATACTGAAGACTGTCAGTAGGGTGAGTGGTGTCGCAGTGGACCACATAGTTAACGTCGTTGTCGATGGGCACTTGACTTCATGCAATAAATTTGCTAAAGGGATTTTGTCTAACTTGGAGCATCCGCTTTACCCTCAGCTTTCACCTTGCATCTCCTCAGATAGAACAAGGAGTAACTTCATAAAACTGTATGCTCGCACGTCTAAGTATAGAAATTCTATGATACCATATTTGGCACGTATTTTATGTGATGAAAATAGTGTCAGGCAACAATTAACTAACATTTTTTCATCTAGTAAATAAACGATTTCCTCCATCCATCCTTATATACCTTCAAGTTTTACTTTTATTACTTCTATTATATTTATGGTCCTGTTACTTCTCTGTTTTACTCTCATAATTGCAAACACCAACTTATCTCCATGAGGGCAGTAATCTTTGTTTTTCCCCTCACCATATCATGTAAAGAGAACATTATACTCAATATTTCTAAACATGTTAGGATTTCTATACCACATTGCCAATACTGTGTGACACAAGCCCACGGCAATTTTCTCTTGTATTATTATTATAACCCTAGCTGTTATCTCTATTATTGTTATTTCCATTTTATATGCTGAATGTTTTTGACACTACCTCTATTGTAAATGTGAAAAATTTTCTGTGTGATTAATTTTTATCTATAATTTGAGGAAATTAGATGCAATATTGTGATTAATGGTGAGAATTCCATTCTGTATCACAAGTACTGTTTTTGGAATAAAGTAAATCATTATTATTATTATTATCTGCAAGCTTTGAACCTAGATGTCACATCGCATCTGAATACATCGATTAGTGTCTTAGAGAATTTCAATCGTGAGTCCTGATTGCTCATCGGTAATGAGTTTAACAAGAGAATGTGCTGCTTCGCGAGCTAAAGTCTCAAATGGGGCATGAATTGTATCTAGGGAGTGAGATTCGCCTTGCTGAAGAGTTCCAATGCATATTGCAAACTTGAATGATTGGGTTTAATTGACAATGGACGGAAGGACTAGACACACGATAGTGGTCACTTCTCAGATGAGGAAATAATTGAGAACGGACTACAGTGAAAGCTGACTAATGATGGTCGTCTTGTTTGAAATTGCTATCCAGTTGAATTTCATTCACTATACTATGTGCTTTGTGGTGATACTTCAAGAATTATTTTCGATGGAAATTAGAAACTTATTAGTCACTGTAAACATTGTGAAGTATTTCTTTTGTCTGCTTTCATAGTCAATCTACTGGTACCAGAGCAGGTTGACACTTTTAGTCCTGAATATCTTGAGGGCAATGCTGAAAGAGGTAAGTCTTCTGTCTTTTGATATTTGATATTTGTCATTAAAGTACATATAATTTGAGTGTATTTTGATATAAATACTTTTCTAACACTCTGTTTAATCTTGGCTTTGCTACCGACATGCTAATATGTTGTTGTCAAAACTAACTGAGATAACCTTAATCTATGTAGAACTTTATTTATTGTTAATGTACTAACTGGATGCAATATTGTAGTAAAATGCTGAGAATTCCATTCTGTATCACAAGTACTGTTTTCGAATAAAGCTATTATCTTATCTTATCTTTATATAGGATTGTATATTATTTGGCAGGGTGTAGATAAGATGTTTGAGATGAAACTGACTAATTCCTGCAGTGTTGTTTCATGTAACAATAAATGAAACCTGATATGATAATGATGGTTTAGTTTACGACTGCAAGAAGTTAATTCCTGATAAGTAAAGTGCCTAGGCTTTGTGCGTACTTGGCCTCCCAGGGAACTGACCGTACGTCAATGGTTCAGTGGTGGTGTGGTTGCTGATCATGCGCTCCTAAAGCTGAATATTCCTGGGGTGCGCCCGTTAAAGAGAAAAGCTTGAGCGTAGGACTGACTACCCCAACCAGTTAAACATAACACTGTTACTGAATCACCATAGCTCCAGACTGAAGTTGTATAATCCACTCGAAACACAACGGAATGCAGAAATGAACTTGTTAACAGGCCGCATTTCCAGACTTGATAAACATCACGTTCACGTCAGATACTGGTGGGAACTTATTTCTCTAAATGTCAAATAACACCATACATTGCATCACATCACAATCCGTAGCAGTGTTGTGCAGCATGAGTACACTCACCCCACTTGAGAATTGACAGTCGAATTAATAATTATGTGGATACTGATTGAAAAATCCAACTGAATCAGTGTCGATTACAGCTCGTTTCATTATGTGTTTTATTTCGATAGTAGTTTTTGACAGAACTAATCTGTTTCCAGATATAATTGAAGTGGTGTTGCTTTTCAAACTGATTGTGTGATTAGAATAGTAAATGAAGGAGAAGACGTTCAGCGAAGAGTTCATCTTCTCGGCCATATTGTTCTCAAGCTGTAGAATCATATATATAAATGTATCCAATGACGTTACCAACGGATATGATATTTTAGAATATGAGTCATCAATTTTGAAAATTTTGAGTCACGAATTACGCCATGTGGAATGCGTTCATTGGATGGAAAAACTGAAGTAAAATGAAATAAGTCAGTTGATTAAAGTAATAAAGTTGAGGGTTGAGTAGAGTTCAACTGAAATAGGACGAGAGTCGAGTTTGGATCGCGATGTGCATCTACCGATTCACCTGCTCCATTGGAAACAGGAGTGTTTGGCATACCAAGTGATCCCTATCTAAACGTAAGATACAACACTAACCGTCATGATTTAATGCATGAGAGAAAAGATCTCCTCGCCTCTGCTCCACCATGGAACACGACGTAATCGTGACTGCAATCTTGACGACACATGAATAGTACTGTCTAAAGATAGGTTGCTAGTCCAAATTTTTATTCTCGACTTTATTTAACACTTTCATGTAAATACGTTTATTCCAGGAGAACGTAGAACATTCTGGCTTCTTCAAGAAAAGACGGACTCCCTAGTATTCGGATGGAATCGTTTTGTTGAAGAAGGCATTAAATACTTGGTATTGGAACGAGAAGTAGACTGGGCTTTAGATGACACCGTCGACGTCCTCTCTGGTAATACAGCAGAATTGAGTGTAATCGGGCGGCAATGCAAACCTGAAAAGTATAACATTATTGCAAAGTCAAAAATCGCCTTCGTTCCCTATGACAAGGCAAAGAGGAGTCTAACATACAATCGAGGTGAGTAGATTTTGTGCTGAAAACATTCGTGAACATTCAATAGTGTACAGTTGACACAAAATAGTAAAATGAAATGCATGTTCTCAATCCACTCATTTCTATGTGAAGAGGACTCCCGACGAATCCACATACACATGTTACCACCTGTCATGGTTTTCCATCGAATGACTCGCACTTGCAAGTCCATGTGTCAAGGTGGTTTGAAGATACCACAGTAGCCACCTACAGTCACCTGGCATCGGACGCATTGCATTACACTGATATGTGATTTCACATATCGGGGTTCGATCCATGTCCGACTCACTCCTTTACCTCACTAAGCCAGAAATAATGCTGGTAAAGAGAGAAGATTGGGCATGTGGCTAGCAACCTTATCCTGTAAAAACAAACACTGCTACAGAAATATCAAGCCATTAGCTTGAAGCCCTATGTTCCACTGGGAACATGAAGGAAAAAACTACTAAAAAACGTTGGTAGTAACTAACATTTCCAGGCATTTCCATGACTTTTCAAAACACTATTTAAATGTAGGAATTTAACAGGAAGTCGGAGAAACAATATTCTTTGTTGCCTGGAATCTTATATCTAGTTTATATTACATAGGTATTCTTGTTTGTTTACATATTTAACATGGACTACTGACCATTTGCATTCCATTCACTTTTCTGTCCTCAGTTACGAGAATAACAAAAGTCCATCTTCCACTGTATACAGATGCATCGCCTTATTTAACTTGGAAAACAGAAGGGTCATTTTGCTCTGAAGATGACGTGATAGTGATTTTCAAAGGATACTCTGACCAGCCGCTTGAATTGCACTTCATACCAAACACTGACAAGAGCTTTTATTTGGAAAGTGAAGGGAAGAGTGAGGGGCAAACGGAAGAAGTAATAATATCCTCATTGCATGGGAAACGTTTCTCCTTACCAAAACTGGGTAAGTATTATGAAGCGCACATTATTGATTGAGATTGACCGGTCGATTGCTTTTCTTTCTTCTCCGTGTCATTGCATGCGAACTTGTACTGGTATGTTATATGAAAATGCCAGAGATGGACTTCAGATGACCTCTGATATTCGCTGAAATGTGTGTCAGTCATGAGGGCAGAAAGCTCAGTGGTCACACATCTGATTACAGCTCTGGGTGACGCGAGTTCGAGTCCCAGAGAGGATGATTGTTCCGTTGATGTAACAGGTGAGTCTTACTGTAAGCGATAAGAAGAACGGAACGAAGGCCTTGCAATTCCAGTGTCGACTGCTTCCAGTCATCTAACTAAGTGACTAGTTCGGAAATGAGAGTTATCATACTTTAACGTATTTCGATTTAGGACGACAACGTATTCCGCTAGAAATGAATTGTTTGATAGTCTATGAAGTCGAACACTTATCAGAACGAAAGACACTGACTTACTCACGGATATATCGATGAATGTATAATCGCTTCAATGAATTATAAGCAAACGAAGACGAAACAGTGAAGAAACCGTCTTGGATGAAAATTTCAACGGTGAATAAAGAAATAATTATAAAACTACAGAGAGGAAACCAACTTGTCCAACGAAACACTGACCGACTGAGTAGATGGTCGGAAGCAGCATCATGATTGTTAGGAATCAACAGAGATCATCACTCGTTCATAGATGTTAGGGAGGCCAATACGAGTGAATGATATAAAGCTGAACACATCAGCATGGTGTTATCGGTGGTTTGGTAAAATCACTGAGCTGCCCGAATTCTCACAGATCACAACTTATCGAATTTACTCAGTTGTAATTTTGCTTTGACCACATATTTACGTCCTTGCAGAACAATCATTAATCACGTGGATAGCTGACTGATTCCGAGCATTCCTCTTGGTTTGTTTCGCGATGATCATTAAGTGAGGCGAAGGAGCGTGCCTCAGATAGAACGAAATTCCATTAAATGATGTAGTGTGGAATTCCGTTTCAATCTAAGATCCTGCAGAAGCACTAGATGAAACAAAGCTGAAACACCTGTACTCAATATGAACATGTTGTTCAGAACAAAGATATAACTACATATTATCTTGCACACGTATGAGTAACAGAATGTACAAAGCTGCTACAAAATGGGAAAGAGTAAATTGAGGAGAAATGTGAAGCAAGTACAATGAATACAAGTGACACTGAGTTACACACAAAGTGTGTGAGTTGAAGCAGAGGCAAAAATGCATTATATACACATATTAATGTGCATTCAAATAAATGTAAATTATTTGTCATTTAATCCAAGTAACCAGAGGAGGCGAATCGATTGAAGATTCATACAGTTATGAAAGAGGTGAGTTCAATTTCATGAGTTAATATGTATATGTACATAAATGTAATTTATTGCGTTATTTGCGTTCCGTTCGCGTTCCGAGTGTAACACAGGGCTTCAGGCTTTGGCTGTGAAGTTTCGATAGGAGTGAAGTTTGTTTTCACAGGGTTTGGATGCTAGACTGACACGGAACCTCATTTCCTCACCAGCACTCACTAGCGGCTAAACGAGGTTTTGCAGTGCGTTGTCCGGAGATCGAATATCCGACCACATGCGATGTGTTCACCCATTATTCTACCACACAACCACTGCCCCACACTCAACGTACTCCACGAGAATGAAAGTAATTAGGAATATTTCGGAGGAATAAGCTGTTGTAGGTAGTGAATGCAGGAAGTCAGATGAAAGTTGTACAAGAGCCAGTCGGGTGTGAATATATGCGAGAAACACAATGACAAACAATTATGTTTCTATTTCATATATAACTACCAAGTATTATGCGACTGTTTTATAAGCACAGACAACCAGATTGTGCTTCAGCATTTCCTGAAGTGCTTTATTCTCTATGACTCACCTTAGCTTTTCAGTTGTGGAGTCTACTCCACGCCCATCAATTCAAACAGCTAAATGTACTGGTCAGTATAGATTTTATTCTCTTGATTATGCAACATATCAGGATTGATTTCAGCCAACCACAGAAAAAAACTACATGAAATTTCAAGCAGTTAAGACTTGGTTCTGACCCACCTCGATGCATGTGCTGGCGTCGTCTCGATGAATCGCCAAGACTGCGTCGACACAATGTTTAAAGAAAATAACCAGAAAGACTAAACGGAACAAACTGAAAGGGAGAGAACGCAAATGCTGGATAAGGAGAACAGCGAATCTATTACTGGCTCTGAATTATTATTTAAGCAAATACTACCCTCAGGTTCCGTGAATCCCCAGTCATACGGTCTACCGAAATTTCACAAATAGAACGGACCAGCCACCACGTCCAATCCTGGACATGACAAATTATTCATATCACGCTACTGCCGAATGGATCGCGGACATTCCTCTACCTATCAGAACTGATCTCTGTCAGCATGGTGTTTCTGATTCTTTTGAATTCGCTGATTCAATATCTGATTCTGATGTATCAGGGAGCAAAATGATTTCCGTGGATGTTGTGTCCGTTTTCACCAATGTTCCTCTCACTGAAACTATTTGCTTTATATGCGAATTTACTGAGGATAATAATGTGGGCGTGTGTATTCCGATTCACCACTTAAAGGAACTACTGTTAAGGTGCACTCTTAATATAGGTTCAGGTTCAACAAACACACCCTTTAGACAAAGGGATGTAGTGGCAACGCGGTCACCACTGGGTCCTTTACTTGCAGACTGCTTCTTGGCGAGTCTGTAGAATAGTATTTCACAACCCACTATCCGGGAAGAATAGGTTAGGGAGATCATTGAGGAAAGCTTTCTTTACAGCTGAAAATGGTGTCAGTTTTCCGATTTTGTTTGTAGCGAAAGCGTTGGAGATTCATCAATACCACCCGAACCCTGTATATATCTGGTCTTTTTGGGATCAACCAGCTTTATCCTTGTCCATCTCCACTTTCTCTAATTTGCATTCAGTTAACTTTCAGTTTTAGTCCTGCAAGTGGATAGCGTACTCAGATGATAAATGAGGGTGTTCATAATGAAAATTACAACGAGAAGCTGCACGAAATACACACAAATAAAAATACACAAAAGTATTCCAGCGTTTAAAATATCTTGTTCTCCATGTCCTATAATTATGACAGAAATTACATGAGACACACTTTACACACTCGCAAGTGTTTCGCCTTCAACTCTCAAAATACTCGTCCCACTGAGACCAGAGTCAGACAAGCCGAAACGAGAAGTTGATTGTCCAGAATACGAGATATGCATTTCGGGATCAGAATCGTCGAGCGATGATGACTGTTTATCCAGCTAGCATTCGTCCACGAATCACCGAGCCTAATATGACAATGTGCGAAATAGCCTTGACACTGGATCACCTAACCTTAAGATATCAAGTTGACTTATATAAAGTTTTTTAAAAATCTTCTCATTCCTCTACTTCGCCGTTTACCCCAATAATCGACTACTCACTATTCTTGCAGGAGACTTACTACATATTGAATCATGTTATTAGCACACAATGAAGTTAGGGCTCAGATAAAATAAGAAAAAGAGTGAAAGTGATTGAGAATGAAACGTTGTTCACATAAATAGAGATATCAACATGCATATGTTAAACCAGGAAACACTATTTTCAGGAAACCAGGAAAAACACAATTATCAAGAAGATGAGGAAGAAGAAATAACCACTGGTGAGTCCAGAATAAAAACGCTGAACTAATTGAATAAAACAAATAGAAAATATATATGTTAGTAGAAGTTGTAATTGATGGTCGGGACATTGAATTTCATCCCAATGAATCGATGGCCTACGAGCTTTCCTTGTAAACTGAAATTAGTCGGTCTGATCCTCGGTACGATGATTGCTGCATATCGCTTGAGAGTGTGAAGATAGTATGGAACAGACTCCACGTACTCCTTGCTTCCCAGTGGTCCTCTAACCGTAGTCACTACGTCATAGATCTTGAGAATAAATAGAGGAAACATGTGGTGCCACACAAAGGCCAATTGAGGAAGCCACTTGCTAAAACATCCATGTGTATTTTTGAACAGTTTAATAAATTTAACAATGGAGTGTCTAAATACATGCTCTTTCCAAATTCTTTAGAACGTCCAGTGATCTCGCGGAAGGAGGATGGTCTAGAAAAAAAAACAGGTGAGACCAGTTCATGCTCTGTATGCTCGCAGTACGCACCACACACGCAAATAGATTTCCTCTTACGCATATTTCCTCCCTCACACATTCAGCCATCACCATATTCACAGACTGACACACACATAAATTTACCTGCAATTACGCGCTTCCATTCGAGGCCAGAATGATTTTAGTCCGAGTCATCGTTCCCAGTTTGATAACTGATGTCATGGTGTGTGGCTGTGTGTGTGAGTGAGTCCGTACATGTTCGCTTAAGTGGGCGAGTTTCTGGTTGTTAACGTGGTGAAAGAATGGGGTATAGAGACGGAGGGTGGTGTTGAGTGCACTGGTCGAGAAAGACCTCATTCTCGACGACTGCATTTTCAGTCTCTGAAATTTCTGGAACGAGTTTTTTCTCAAGAATGTGGAACATCTCAGTTGGATGTGTTGCCCGATAAGTTGTCATTGTGAAGAATACACGAAAAGATGAGTTCAACACCTGTGATCCATACGGCCAGTGTGAACCTTCCAATACGGAGTTGATTATCATTGTCAATTTCTTAATGACCTATTCGAATTCTAGTGATTTTCACTTTTCTCAGAAGCTGCAGTTACCACAGTAAAGAAGATGGCGTCGGTTGTAGAAGCCACGACACGTGAGTCCAGTTTACTTGCCACCAATGATTGAAAAGAAACGAAGTCATTTTTCTGCGATGTGTCAATACTCGTGAGAGTGAATTTGTCAGTGAACTGACTGATGCAGTCAGTATCCGATCTGCAAGTTGATTTCAGTTCAGATAGCCCTCTCACATATGTTATTGTCGTATATCTGTGTAGAAGGGTTAACGAAGGAGTAGGAGTGTATTCTGAATGTGGGTGGGAATGTTTGTTTCAT